TATTATTATTATTATTATTATTATTATTATTATTATTATTATTTGTATCATCATACTTCTGTGCGTGGTAAAATACGGAGGATCTATAGACCCCTTGCATGTGACTTAAGTGTAGTACAGTAGAAACTGACAATGTAGCAGAAATGAGTGCCTTTGTTGGCTTCCTTAATGATCTTATTGACGTGTTCATTCCACTTTAAGTTACTTTTTTTGAAAGTCAATCGCCCTATTTCACTATGACGTCACATCAAAACAATCTATTGTTTAAAATACAAAGGATCATGGTCGTCGGACGGGGTCAAATTAACGAAAATTCACCGAAATTGTTCTAAAACCCGTATTAATCCACGAAGAGAAGTAGAATAAACAGCAAACTCTCAGAATATTTTTTAGTACATATTAACATGTATTATATCTGAAAACCAGGCCATTTTAGATTAAACTGTTTCGCTAGGAGCAAATTTTGTTGCCAATTTTCTATTGGATTTATAGCGATTCTATCCCCCACATAAACGAGCAGTGACCTCATAGTGAAATAGGGCAAGTACAAGCTCTTTATTACATTTGTGAATGTCAAGTTGTATCAGGTTCTCGCCCGATCAGTCTTCAACTGCAGTAACCTGACTTTGGACCAGGTTAATATTGGTCGTAAATTCGATATCAAAGAAGAGGCCATTAATTAGTCTTACCAACCTTTTCTTTGAACTGTCTGGAAGGAGAATCCATTTGTTGTAGAAAACTAATACAAAGAGCGATGAACAAGGCATAAAACGTAGCACCCGTCATCATGCTGAAGATGGTCACACAAGCCTCGGGGATGTTTTGTGGAGGATGGCGGCCATAACCAATGCACAGCATGTGAGAAAGAGCTTTGAATAAAGACCAACAGTACTGATCACCCCAGGGCGCGTTCTGTGTAAGCAACAAACAAATCATGTCACCACAAGACTTTACACCAACAAACGTCTGTAGATGGGGTCTAAACATATCTTACCACAAGATTATGGATGACTACCCATGAATCATTAGGAAAGTCATGCACGTAAGGAACCAAGAACTGCATGCATCCATTCCAGTGAGCTACCAGTAGAATAAGGCTAATGAGATTTGTGAAGCGCATCACAGATCGTGTGATGTTCAGGATCTATTTGAATCGAAATAGAATTGTACTTTTAGTATTTAGTATAGCATCAATGCTGTATCACAGTTCTTCTAACATTATACGTATTACGATGTGTCTAACCTCTTCATATTGATGGATATATCTGACGAGCCTTGATATTCTAAGCAGCTTCAGTAAACTAAGAAGTTTTGCTAGTCGTAGAATCTTGAGAGCACGTGATGCACCGAAGAGCTTTGTTCCTTGTGAGTGTGTAGCTGCTTCAACCATGTAGTCAAAGGGTAATGAAGAGATCAGATCAAGAAAAAACCAAGTCTTGACGTATCTATGCAGCAACAACATCATGATTATGCTTTATTAGATGAGACGAGGAAGCCCACTGACCCCACCCCTACTGCTTTATAGACTGAGGCCCTAAATACGTTGTATAACGTCCCACTGCTTTATAACTTAGACCCTAAGCACGTGTACTGCCCGTCCCCACTGCTTTATAACTTAGGCCCTAAGCACGTGTACTGCCCCAACCTCACTGCTTGATAACTTAGGCCCTAAGCACGTGTACTGTCCCGCCCCCACTGCTTTATAACTTAGGCCCTAAGCACGTGTACTGCCCCGCCCCCACTGCTTTATAATTTAGGCCCTAAGCACGTGTACTGCCCCGCCCCCACTGCTTTATAATTTAGGCCCTAAGCACGTGTACTGCCCCACCCCCACTGCTTTATAACTTAGGCCCTAAGAGCGTGTACTGCCCCACCTCCACTGCTTTATAACTTAGGCCCTAAACACGTGTACTGCCCCGCCCCACTGCTTTATAACTTAGGCCCTAAGCACGTGTACTGCCCCACCCCCACTGCTTTAATACTTAGGCCCTAAGCCGGCACGTTTAGTGCCCCACCCCCACTGCTTTATTACTTAGGCCCTAAGCACGTTTAGTGCCCCACCCCACTGCATGCTTTGTAGACAGCTACAACATACAGGAAACTCAGCACTTACTCAGGGCTCCTAATGATAGCAGATTTGAAAGGACAGCCCGGCTGAAATTGAAGCTTATTAATGATAACCAATGGGGTCTTACCGAACAGCAATACTGCTGGGTTCTAATATAAACTTGTTAGGAGAACCATGGACCAACACGCCGGTTCTGAAGTTTAGTAGGATATCCAGAAGAAATGTCGCGTCTGAGATGAAGTAAAATACTTGTAAACTAAAGCTTATCCCGTCTCCAAAAAATGATATGGTCACCGGCAAGACAAACATGTTGATCAGCAGCAGCAACAGCACCCAGATGTCCCAGTTAATTCTGCAACATAACATGATCAATACTACTTGTTATTGATATTGATAATAATATAAGACATCAGTTGACTTCGATTAGTGATCATAGTCGTATAAATGATATCAGCTATTATCCCAACAACGCGGGAGTCTCCACTGTATTTCCTTATTTAACAGATTTATATCTTAATGCTATCAAAAAATTAAGGTTTCTTCAATGCGCAACAGAAGAAAAGACAGCACCACCACCAACAACAGCAGCAGCAGCAACGACAGTAACAATAGAAACAACGGCAGGAAAAACAGCAACAACAACAAAAGCAGCAAGAATGTAGCATACACTTAACATATAGCATACACTTAACATATAGCATACACTTAACATATAGCATACACTTAACATATAGCATACACTTAACATATAGCATACACTTAACGTGTAGCATACACTTAACATATAGCAAAAATGTTGTCAAGTAAATGGAAAATCTAGCCATGCAGGGCTATAATCAGTCAGTTTTATCTCGTATATTCTAATTCTGACGCAATGCGCGCAAGCTTGTTAGATCTGTTGCGTCACTAGTGTATCAAATGACTGCAAGACTGACTGCAATAGTTATTATTCTAATTATTTTTGGTAGACCTTTTATGTTTACCCATTCAGATCACGTATTATTTCCAAGAGTACACCTAATTGAAAAAACGTAGTCGGGTTCGAGAAGGTCATATCATCGAAGCTAACACCGAAAAGGATTTTGGGTACTCCGAAATGTGTATTATATTTGCATATAGACATGTAAAAATGCGCAGTAGAGCAAAGTCGGTCGACCTAGATTAACAACATGCCATAACCACGATGCATAAAATGTGCATAGGAAGGGAAAACTGCACTACGCATGAAATTAGCATAATTGTTWGTCTTCCCATGCTCCCCTTCGGTCTTAGCTGTGATGATATAACCTTTTTTGAACCCGACAACGTTTTTTCAATTACGTGTATACCATTTCTTTGTTTAATGATTGCGCATGAAAACATAAATATGGATGCGGCTCGAGCAAAGACACGGCGGATCCAGGAATCTTAAAAGGGGGTCGATTATTATGAAAGTTGGGAATTCTAGGAAAAGGGGGTGACTGTTACTAATGATATGCTGAGAAATTTGAGCAAAAGGGTGGTGGCTAGTCAACGACTTCACCATCCTTGGATCCGACCCTGAAAGATTTTTATACTCAAGAATGAAACATTACTCACCAGCCGAAAAAGTCTATTGATTCTATTCTCAGAACGAAAATTCTTGCTCGTGTTTTAGTTGATTCCTCTACATATATGTATGATATGTGTGTATATAAATATATCGTTGTTAATCGATACATGACGCCAAATTGCTTTTTTTTTTTTTTGTTTTTTGTTTTCTATGATGATAATTGGATGAACACAGGTGATAATGCAAGATGCTGCAGCCGATGAAGAACTAAGTTGTTCTAAAACATCAATCTGTTTATTTTTTCAAGCAGCTATCTTCTGGAATTATTAGCCTTTATTCGTTTATTATTCAGTTACCTCGAATATTAATATTATTATCACATGGCCTTATCTGTCAGTCTGAGCCGGGAAGATTAGACTAGATCGGCAGCAGCTGTATGTAAAGGATCGAAGAGTTCATCCAGACATTTGTTGTTTTTAAATAGTAATCACGAAGATCTACAAACACGACCCACATAATCACACAAACCGGCGATGATATTCAACTCTAAAACCAAAGCTATGCTTATTTTGATTCCTCAATTAGAAAAATATTATGAACCATTTTGATTTATCGCATGATAAGGAGAGTAGAATATCTAAAAACTTCAATCTAAACCATGGTTTTAATTACCAATAGACAGCGTTTTGATTATGTTATTTCGGACGATGGTGAGAATTATGTCTTGCGCCATGATCTAGTTCTGGCCAATATAAACACATTAAAAAACATTTGGGATTTGTTTTAGTCGAGAACTAAATATATGTTTATGTTAGCAAAATTAGATAAGATTCTCCAAGAAAAATCCGTGACGGCTACATGTTAGTATTCTATAATTCATTGCTGTTGAATGTGGTTGGTTAATGAAGGAGAATGTGCGCTTCTTAATTAAATCAATCTTGTAGAAAATTCTTCCAAGCACTTCCGAAAAAGATTTGCATTCAGTAAATAAGAATCTGGCTTAACAATATGAATCAATTTTCAAAATATCTTGTGGAGTTTACCTGCATTTCATTGTCGGTTTTGACGCGATTTTATTTTGAGTGATTTAGAAAAATAAATCTGCAGTTTTTGTGTTGGATGTTTCAATCAAATAAATGGGAATAAGAGAGATAAAAATGAAAAGGAATTCGAAAATGGACACCACATTATTCAAGCCATTACTGACCAAGTAGTTGAAGGACTTGTCAATACAAGGCATTTTATTGTCCCATTCCTCCGCGGTCTGTCGTTCAGTAATATCCTTGTCAGTGCTCTGAGACAAAAATTGGTTTTATACTGACCTGAATGAGCTGGTTGGATGGATCACAAAGCCTGCTTTTTTGTATCTTTCTTGCTCGTCTTTCATTGCTCTCCTACTTCCAAATACTTTCATATTCATTCTGTTGTTCATAGGTTGTAGCCAGGACCTCAGTACCATGTTGATTGTATTAGTGACAGAAGAATCAATTATAGTTAGATGAGGGGCACTCGCAGAAAGATATGTGGTACTTGCTAACTCGTGCTTTTCTCTCACATGTTCTCTTACACTCCACGATCGCCTTGGTTTCTTTACCCGGTGCGATGAACCTTGTATTTCAATAAAACTGCTCGCCGGCATTCCTTTTACTTCCTTCTCCAACAGATCGTCCTTGTGTGGAATAACCTTTACATCTTCCAGTTCTATTTTCTCGATATTTGCTGTCTCGCTACATTCTTTTTCGTTCATTTCAGTGTCTTCAATATTCACAATAACTGCTTCAATAGGTAGATGTTCGTTTTCTTTCTCTGTCGCGAGACTGCTACCGGCTTCTTGTTTTTCGTGGGCCTCGTTGTCTTTCTCTTTTTCCTCAGTAGAGTTGTGATTATTTTTTCCAATGTCGCAGACATCATATGGATTCTCTATCTGGTTGATTGGAATATCTTCATGCATTTCGCCGTCACTAGTCTGCACATCCATTGGAACTCTACTTTGGCGTAATCTTGAAATGATCACTCATTATGCTTCAAGATTCAACAAACGTAATTTCCGCACTTTGGTCATTTTTTGGTACGATTCGTAGTGTTTCTGGTATTGGTTCAAAGTCATGTCGTTATTTGAAGGGTTTAATCGTAGAAACCACACGAAGAGTGTGCTGGAAAACGAAACCTATCACATTATTGTTGGTGATTTTACTTCACGCCAAGAAAGGCTTTGGAAGATGAAAGAATCACAGCTAGAGCAAACCGACCAAACAATTATTTAATCTGATGACGTAGGACTGTTGTGACGTCATCAATCCCATTTAGCTCGGAAACCATATAAGAGAGCGCGCGCAGATTTGACAACACGCGTGCATATTTTATATACACAATCAGTTACAGGAAGAATAAAAACTAAACGTCGCATATCTACCCTGATTCTATTTCATTTTATTGGTTAAATTTATATTTTTCGCTGTTCTTGCCGGAAAAGTCAATCATATTTGGATTTAGCAAAAAAGGTCTGCTATATATATTGTCTTTTGTTGTCATAATACAATATAAGATAATTGAATTAACTTTCCTTAGTCTTTCCTTCATGAAAAGAATGCGTGGGAGACATATTCGTTCATGAACAGCCATCATTTTTTATTAACTAAGCCGATCTATGTGGGAGTGGGTGGGGAGAAGTTTTTCACTATGGATCAAGAGTTGTCTTTCTGAGGCGAGCTTTTTCTCCTTTGCGAACATCAGTAGACCTGTCTTCCACAGTATGATCACGCGATCTTGAAATAGAAATGGAGAAAACCATGATTGTATTTGAACTATAACAGGAAATACGTAAAGATACATGCTAGATAAAGAGCCGTGCCTCTGTCAGTACAAATCTAGCACACCATATCGTGTATTTTACTGCTTCATTCTTGGTGTTCTTGTTTACATCCAATAAAGAGTGAAGAAACGGATCAGCATAAGGGCGGGGCAAGGGTTAAAGTAGTAATCGATAGAGGAGAGAGAAACGACGGAAAAAATAGTAGAGGAAAAAGGAAGAGAAAAAAGAAGAGAGAGGAGAGAGAAACAACAAGAGGAAGAGCCAGGAGAGCATAGATAATAGAAAGAAAAAAATATTTAAATGCCTCTTTCTCTCCGATCAATAAACCAACTTACTTTGAAACTGTGTAGAATTCCACCATCAGACATCCAGACAAAATGCATGGAAAATAAAAAAAGACAGTAAATAATGATAAACATGACATCATAGTTGCTATGGTTATATCAGTATTACGTACAAGATGATATGCTGGGTGTCGGGCATTTTTCTGCTCATAACTCAGTCTGGCAGCAGTGTGCACTAATAATATATTAAGAGATAACTAGCTAAAAACTAGTGTGAGCTGTGTCGGTGTTTCTAAAGAAACAGTAATGATAAAAAGGTAAATTATACACCGTGAAAAGATGAAAAAACTTACTAATAACATATTACATGTTTTTAATCTTACTTTTGTTATCATTTTTCTTTGTTTTCTCAGATGATGTGGTGATGACATAAAGGAAGATAGCTTCTACTATTATACCTAGTATCGGCCACAAATGCCTGAGAGGGTCTGGAAACAAGAGTAAGTATTCGTATTAGATAACCTGTTATCGTAAGGGCAGGAAGCCCACGGTACTGGCTTGAACCTTGCACGTACACGGTACGGGAATGGTTTCCCTTTAATTTGCCATCCAGTAACGACAAAACATATTCTTATATGAAATCCTCTATATAAGATCCTTGTACCTTTAACCCTGAGAGTAAACCGTTGACACTGATCAGGAACACTAGTGTTAGATGATCTGATACAGCAGTAATAATCACCACGGTCTTCGTAATCTGTTTTAGGAATTTCTAGCTTAAATTCCTCGTAGTTACTTTTTCTTGTAAACTTGTAACGTGTTTGCAGACTTTCATTGGAGTAACCTGTAAGAAGAACAGCCTGTTCAGGGTTTTTCGTTGATAGCCTTGATCGATGTTCAGTTTGCTTTTCGTGTGCTTATTGTGTGCCTATCGTTGCTTTTCGTGTGCCTACCGTGTGCTTTTCGTGTGCTTTTCGTGTGCTTTTCGTGTGCTTTTCGTGTGCCTATCGTGTGCCTATCGTGTGCATATCGTGTGCTTTTCGTGTGCCTATCGTGTGCCTATCGTTTGCCTATCGTGTGCTTATCGTGTGCTTACTTGTTTCGTTAAGTGTGATCAGCAGGTTTTTGTGTCTCGGTTTTCTTTTCCACACAATCTTGATTGGGTTTCCTGTGGCGTCGCATTGAAACTGAACTGCTTCCCCTTTTATCCGAACGATTTCGTTGTGTGTTAAATCCACTGCGCCAAACTTCGGTCTTACTGAAGTGCAATCATCAATCATGTTAATAAGTGCAAGATGAAGGCAAAATTAAAATAGTCTTTTCTCTACATCTACAACTTGAAATCAGTCAAAACTAATGCGCAAATGCATCTGCCTTAGAATATTACAGCGGTATCTGCATGGGAACTATAGAGCGGTCCACTGCACTCGCTCTGATTTGCGAAGACCTGTGTTGTATTTATGACACCACACACGCGTAGCCAGCTTTGCAACTAACTGATAATCATGAGAAGTGCTTCTCTTCACACGTCACTTCCTGCGTGCTCTGTTACTGGACATTTCGATTCTTCAAAATTATTTACCTTGTACAGAAATGATCCGAGTAACGTTATACGTCCTCTGAGCATGTAACATGGAAGTCAGTTTACACTCGTAATGACCACCATCTTGTGGTTTGTTCAACGTTAGTCTGATGTCTTTAAGATTTCTTTCAGCTGAAGGTACTTCAGCGATACGTTGGTGGTCATCCTTAACCCATGCAATTATGACAAGCCGTACCTTGAATATATTACCCTTTTGCGTAATATTGCATGCCAGACGAACAGACTCGCCTAGTTCAGCTGTTATATTGCGTGACACTTCAATCTCTGGAAGATCAGACTCTAAAATAACAAAAGGTTTAAGAAGATTGGCATTGAACTATATACAAGAGACATTATGAATGCCGACTGGACTTGATGTACAGAATAACCTTACTTGCAATATAAGTTATTCCAAAACCATAGGATGTATTAGTGTCGTTAGGTAGCGTGCATCTGTACTGCCCTGAATCACTCGGTTTGATTCGTTTGATCACCATGGTAACATACAGCTTTCTTCCATCAACTGCAAAAAAGAGATGTGACGAGAAAAGTTACAACGACTAAGAAATACGCCGCCTATGGAAAACAATTAAGAGAGAATTCTTTTCGTATTCAAGCGGTGAGCGCCAAAAACTATTTTCTTGAAGAAAGGCTGTTGTACTAGGCTAAAATCTTGTTATTCAGAAAGTTTAACTTGTTTGGAAGTGGAGATGACCGATGAAAGTGAAATCAAAGTGTTAAACCAAAGCAAACATTTTATTCGAAAATGAGGTTTAGGCCTTCATTTGCTTATTTCCCATATATTTTCTATAAAAAAGCCTGACAAAGCAACATTCTAACACAAATGCAACAAAGAATCTTTGTACAATTGAAAATACCGCTTCTAACAGGCATTTTATCATAGTATATCAGTTTCTAACTGTTTAAAAAAGGTTTTGAGTGTTAACCTAAAACGAAAATTGGGATCAAAATTCATACGAAAGTCTAGTTTTTGGCGTTTTTTGCCATTATTACTCATTATTGAAAAAAATTTCCTCTTAAAGTTCTTCACCTTCTGTTTTGTTTTCAAAAACACAGTTTCCTGCAGGACCTTGGTCCACTATACGAATCAAATCACCATACTTATCCACACGAAAGAAGTCTACGCCAGTAGGTTTGACATGTTGGTCTTCAGCATCAAACACCACACACGTCACGCGAAGAGTTTCATCTTCTATTGCAACACTATGACCTGGTAATGGGTCTACAATCTTTAGCACTCCTAAACAAGTACAATAATATTACAATCAAGCGATCTAAAGTGTGAATGGACCATGTATAGATTTTATAGTCGACTCTCCCGTAAGCAACCACCCTGGGGCCAGGAGAAAGTGGTCGCTTACGGGAGATGGTCGCTTACGGGAGATGGTCGCTTACGAGAGAGTTAACACAGGAAGCCCAAGCTATATGTTTACACTAGTGTAATTGTCAATACTTCGTCGGGTTTTCAATACCCGATGACTCTATGTTCTTAAATTTTTTATTGTTAAAGGATCTGTCGTCATTACTGGCTCTTGGGTGGTCGGTTACGAGAGAGGAAAAACAATGAAAATTTCCACAATTTTAACCCCAAAGGTGGTCGCGGTCGCTTACGAAGGTAGTCGCTTACGAGAGAGTTTTTTTTACAGAGTTTATATGGGGAACAAAACAGGAAATTCAAAAAGTGGTCGCTTACGGGAGATGGTCACTTACGAGAGTGGTCGTTCAAAGAGAGTCGACTGTATCAGTGTACTCATGTCAGATATGTCATAGCTTGTCTTAAAAACGTCAGCGTAGAAGACTACCTTGTGACTTAATATGTTCACACACGATACTACACGAATGTTGATCCTTGGCCTCCAGGATCAGAACAGTCCATGTTAGTAAGAACGTTTACGTTCAATACCGAAGGAATTTCAAATCATTCGTATACCTTCTTATCTCCATTTGTTCAATGATATGTATTAGAGCTATCTTACCTTTAACACGAGATAGAACAACCAAAAGAGAAGTTAAAAAGACACAAGACTTGAACAAGATTCGCTGACTCGCCATTATTTATCTACGTTGCTGCGCTTCTCTGTGAAACTGAAACAATCGTGCGTCTACCTACCACCTGGGCTTATATAGGCGGTACTTGAATCTGTTCGTACAGTTATTGATCGTTCATTTTCTATTAATAACATTACCATAAATAAACAGCTGATGTAACATAATAAACTCACTACCCACCGCACAAAACATCAATAAAGTACTGAGCAGTCTATCCTGGCCAGCAGGGAAGATGGGAGGGAGGACAAAAAATAGAGGGGGGTCTTCGTTGTTAGATATTAAAAAATGTAACACTTCTACACAACAGTTTAGTGAGGTACATTTATTTATATTTTTTTTACAAAACAAAAAGTACTATCCTTTCTTTGTTTCTGCAAGTCTTGTATCGTCTATAGTACAAAAGCTCAGATACTTGTTTACTTGCATGAAGAGGAAATCTTGTGTAATTATGACATTTACTGATTTATCTAGAGTTTTACGGTATCCCGCGGAAATTATGAACCCAAACATTCAACTTTGATGATATATTTTTACGCGGTCGAATTAACTAATAGCCTGCTATGTTAACAACGACGTAAACGTGTGCAATATTCATTACCGCTGTGGTGTATAATATACTGCTTATGTGTATATATCAAAAGGCTTATTTGATTGTCATATTTCAGGAGAGCCTATAACCGATCAAAGGTTACCTTCGTGGTCTACAGCACCTGATTCAAGTACGAATAGAATACGTGAGTATCTAATTTAAGATCATTCAGATTTGGGAAAATTATTATTTCAACAATGAAAACCGACTATAGGCAATACATACCTGATCGTTGTCGGTCGGAAATCTATTTGAAAATGTAATAAATTCGATGCTGAACAACACAGTTTCGTTTTAGATTGGAAAATGAAGCATGACCTTTGAGTTCTGATTTTTCGTATTTTCACCAGAAGAAATTAAAGCACAATTAAGATCGCTTAGATCGCCCATTTCAGATCTCCGACCGACAACATTTTTTGAAATAGGTGTGATATAACGGTTAAACTAATGCGCTTATCAATATGAAGCATTAAAAAAATACGACTTACTGGCTCGTTGTATTCTGTTTGTGTTTCAAAAGCCAGTTTTAACCTATTAGGAAGGGAAGTTACATATCCTATTACACCAACCCATCAGTCCCCATTGACCCCGAGGTATTGAATGCAGCTAAATGCCCCAGTGGTACCCGGTAAGAAGGATTTTAACACTCCTCAAGGATCGGTACTGTACTGTATTTCTAATTTGTCGTGGCTCCAGTATTACGTAAGCGGATGTGTCCTTTGCTTCCTTCATTAGAGATTGTGTAGCTAAGTTCTGTGTTGGCGTCAGATCTAAAAATAAATCGCAAAAAGCAAATTCAGTATTCAGTTGAGTCATATCTAATTATTGTCTTGACTATAAACACGGTACTTACCTGTAGGCTGTAGTGAAACATTGTTGTTTATGAAAAGAAAAAACACCAAGTTAGGAATGTTTACCCACAACGGCTAACATGACTTCAGAAAACACCCTCCCTCCAATCAAAATGCTTGAATTCGAAAGTCATGATCATTTGAGAGTTAATAGCACTTTTCTCTGTGATTATCATAATCTGGCTATGCATGCAAGGATGTCAGTCTCAAGTTCCTAAATCAAGAAAAAGATTGCAAACCTTATGTTGCAAAGAATTGTGTGTTAAGATCACGATGTTCCGCCATCTCGTGTCCACAAATTCAGTCCCATCATTCATTATACCACAAGATCGCTGTCTAATTAAACTTTGGCAATATTTTGACATATAGAAACTTGGGTGCCATGTACTCACTTTTTTCTTTTTTTGCTTTGAATTTGGCGGCAATCAGTAGAATAAGGATGATGAGAATAGCTTCACATATTATTCCAATCAGCGGCCATAACCAACCAAGGGGATCTGGGGACACAAAGGAAAGCATGAGGTTTAGAAACAATAAGAAAGCCAGCAGGTGTTCAGGGTGACGGTTAGGCTATGGCGACATACCTTTAACCCTAAGAGTAAACTCTTGGCATTTCTCGAGACTAGCGTTATATTTGATACAGCAGTAATATTCACCACGGTCATCATAGTCGAGATCATGGATTTCTAACTTGAATCCTTCGTAGTTAGTGGTTGAATCAAAAATGTACTTTGAAGAGTTGGCTACAAAATATAAAACTATCAGTCAGCTTTGTGTAACATGTTCAGAAGACTCGAATTGATGGTTTTCACGGCGGCCATGTTGGAAAAACTAAACAAAAGTGTTGTCAATGAATTCTTTTGTTATATCCTCCAACATGGCCGCCGTGTYTTTTGTTATTTAATTCTCTTGGGAATGGTTGAAAACCATCAATAGTGACTGTTCTACTGACTTGTTTGGGTTAAGCTTGTCCTTGTGGTTTCTGAGCGTCCATGCTTCTGCCAGATAATCTGTATTGGATTGCCTTTGGCCCCGCAGTTCATTGTAGCAGATTCACTCTCGGTCTTAATGATTTCATTGTCATCGCCAAGAAGCATTTGATTTCTCGGGAACGCTGGTATCACTGTTTGGGCATAAAGATTACAGGCATGAAATAAAAACTAGTTGTCATATAAATAGTAGTAGCAAAAATTACCAAAACAATGGGGGAGGGGAGGGGAGGGGGACTAAGCTGGGTTTGGGCATAAGTGCAAGCTATTGATAGAACCATTCTCCGGCGCGGCATCTTTTATCCCAACATTTTCATCTTTTCTTGTCACAATATTAGATATATATTATGAACACATGAACTCACCTTTAACTTGGATTTTACCAGTGGTTATATATTCCCTTTGAAGTCGAAGAATTGAAGTGAGTTGGCATTTGTAAGTGCCAGCATCCTCGGGTTTTTCCATATTCAGAGTAAGATTCGGCAATAACTTTTCATTTTCAGCAAGATTTTTAACCTCTTCGCGCTTGTCATTTCCCTTGAACCAAGCGATTTCGACCAACTTAACACTGAACTTCTTCCCTTTTTTGACTAAGTTACACGACAGATTCACTGGCGTGTTGAAATCCACTTCTTTATCTTCGGATAATTTAATCTCTGGAAGATCTTTCTCTGTGGTGAAATAAAGGAGTGAGCAAATTCGTGACAGAGAAGAAAAGAATAGAAAAGAAAAGAAAGGAAGGTCGAAAGGGAAAAGGAATGAAATGGAAAGAAATACCAAAAGAATAAATGTCATTTTTAGTGGCGGTAGCCTAGTAGGCCTTGCCGTGTTGAGGCAGGGGTTAGTAAATACATATTGGTGACTTACTTTCAATATAGCTGATACCAAATCCGTATCTTGCATATGTGTCATTCACGTGACATTCATATTGGCCTGCTTCGTGACTGGTAATGTTATTGATGATCAAGGTTCCATTCCATCTTGGAACGCCTCTAAAATCTGTCGATCAACCAACACCGAAACATTGCCACACTGAACTGAACCAGTTGCCTAGCAACTTGGATAGACTAGCATTCACTGCGGCAGAGGGCGCATGCGCTCTAGTATTTTATGTATATTGGAAGCAATCAAAATAACAACATTTCAAAAGAAGTAATCGATAATACTGAGAGATAGCAAGTGAAAATCGTCAAACTTACAGTCCGTCTTGTGGTCATAGGAGTATTTGCCATCGTTAACAATTCGTCTCTTGTCTCCAAATCTGCTTGTGATTTTGTAAAACTCTATCTTAGTAACGTTGTCATGGGTAGTGTCGTTTTCCAAGTCGATTAATACACAGGTAATGCTGATGTTTTCTCCTTCAATGCCAACCACGTGACCAGGGTATGGCTCGGTGACTTCTGGTATGCCTGTCAATCACCTCTGCATTAGTTATCACGTGTTATGCTTATCATATTTGCCTGTCTTTCTGTCTGTCTGTCTGTCTCAGGAGACAGACAGACAGACAAACAGACAGACAGAACGACAGATAGACAGACCATAGTTAATAGAGGGGAATGGATTCCCCTCTATTTACTATGGACAGACAGACAGACAGTAGTTTGAAGCAAAGTCTACCTTACAGCGGAGCCTAAACTGATTCCATAGTCGTAGTCGTCGCTCTTATCCAGAATCGACAAAATAGCGAAAACACTGTCTTATTATGGAACCAGTCTAGGCGGAGCCAAACTTCAACAGTTTTTCATTAAGTTTGAGGAGAGCTTAATTGATTGGTATTTTTAGACGTGAAGTATTTTCATCATATTTATGCATGCTATATTTTTACATTTAACTTTTCTTTAATTTATTGATATGGCTTTTCTTGGGGGGAAAACAATGCAAGTTGAGCTTAACCATCGTGGTAAAATGAAGGAGTCCCTCACTCACTTCGTAACGGCACTAATGACGTCCTACGCTATTTACACAACAAGCACCAGCACACATCAGGTTAAAATGTGTACAAATATTGTCGCTTTAGTTCGTTAGGTTTTTACTGAAACAGGTCGTATTAAACTAGAACACACAACCAAAAGAATTTTCTTGAGTTTGGTTGATTGGAAAACCAAACACACATTAAATATTAATGCCCGCTCCATCGATGTTCGACTATAAACCACCCCATGTACAGCGAAATGGGAAGACTATTTTCTTTATTCCTTAGCATGGATAATAAGTTTTTATTGTAGTTCTTTTCCGTAATTTGACTGTAGAATTAAAATATTTTCAATTGATGGAATACTCGAATATTCTGTTGTGCTTCACTGCATTTCTAATTGAATATTTTTCAAATAACTTTATATATTCAGATCTGTATAGAAGGTGAAAACGTTTTTTAATTGAAGAAAAATCCTCAAATATGTTCTCTAATGTATCTTGGCAATTTCTTTTTCTTTACGCGATGATTTGATATTGTCTTATTTGTTTTTATTTCCTAATAATTGCAATTGATAAAAGTGTTCGTGGCACTCCTTGCAAACGAAGTACCGAGAGGCCACTAGATGCATGTGGAACAGTAAATACTCACGACCCGTACTCAATAACATAACAAATATATTATCTAAGAAGGGAAACCTTAATAACCTGTCATCACTTCTGAATCTCGATGTATATTCAAACAAGTCTGTGCTCAACTATCAAAATTACGTAAATAGTATTGTGAGTGAACTTTTTTGTGTCTTTCTTGTTAGTTTTGTTACTTGTTTCGATTCTAGAAGTTTCTTAAACTTATACTACAGCTTACCTGAAGCAGGAACCACAAAGAAGATGAAAAGGATGGCATAACATATAGCGAAAAAAGAGTGAAACCAAGCCATCTTGATGATGTTTTGAGTGGCGTCCTTCACTATTGACGTCACACTCTAGTCACGCAAAAGACACGCGTGATCACGCTCCAAATATGCATATCACATCAATATCGAAGTGGATTCCAAACCTAGATGGCTTGATAAGCATCAATCAAAATAATTGTACTTAGTTTGTAACAGGATGACGTCATATCAACTCACAGTTCCCTTCAACATAGATTTCAGTATATCTCTGAGAGTATTTGATGAATGTCATCCAAACTTTGCAGTATGCTTTTATGAAGAAATAGAAAACATGAAAATGCACAAACTGTGGTTGCTATGGTAACACACTGGTGTCTAGGCACCTAACAACGATTTTAGCCTTTCAGCGATTGCTTGGTTATAATTTAACTTGAGCTGAAAATTGTTTGACTAAATTTGTATCTACGACCATAAAAGATATTTTAATCTAGCCTTATTCGATACCTTCTCTCGCAAAGGTAGAAATGTCAAAAACCTGAATTTTAGGTAGGGGTGACCTAGAACCGAGGCTGTTGCTATGGCAACTTATATCTATAGCTCCTTTTGGAGAACAGCTAGAGTACTATGATACTAGCAAATTTGTTCGATTTTGATTGAAATTGGACTGAGATATAGCTTATCAAAATCTTAGGCTGCTCAAGTATTGCAAATATGACGTCATCAAGAAAAATGGCAGCCATTTTGTAAACTCCCATATCTTTTGAAGGAAAAAAGGTATTTGAAAAAGGAAAGTTACATTTTACTTCCYTATCAAAGGTCTTTCAAGCCAGGGGAAAAAAGAGCAAGTCAGAAATTTGATCGTAGTAGCAATTTAACCTACGGAAACACGTTGCATTGGTGGTGGCGGAACGAAATGGAAAATAAGTGTTGGGATGGCGCCAGGGGGGGAGAGAAGAGCTGAAATTTATTTTTGTCTTTTTCTTGTTGTTTTGATGTGCAGTACGTTGAGATGGGCTTCCTTTGTTTGCAATCAATCCCAAGAGAGCACAATAACAAAAGGGATGTCCGCCATGTTGGAAGATATAACAAAAGAATTCATTGAGAAATCTTGTCGAATTCTTCCAACATGGCGGCTATAACGTCTATTGCAAACGAAGAATCCCCACTGCCTCTGTTACTACCTAGGAATATGGTTGTGTCAAACATATACATACAGAAAATTTTGAATAAACTTATAAAGTAGCTCACATCATTCCTTTTGACTTGCATCAGTTTAGAGATAGTTAACTATGGTTTTGAAATCTAGTTGAGCATAGAGCAGTTTATTATTTTACTTATCCGAGGTAAATAGTGCTTTGCTTTTCTGCCAACTACTTGTTTGTGCTTTCTCAGTTTTTTCTTTTATTCATTCATTTCTATGCCTCATATTTATTTTTTCTCAACCTTAAGGTACAGTAAATGGATCAGGTCAGTGTTCAAACTGTATACACTATATACTTTCAATACAAAGATCAGGCTGTGAAGGGAGATGCAGTGAGCATAAGCAAGGGAGATGTCAGGACATCTAGGGGCATAAGAGACCTGCTCAAACAGCAATGTTAAACATGAATGTAGCAGATGGGCATTAGCAATGAATATAACTCCAAGGAGTTCAACAGTTCATTTTTCTCCTATTCCACTTTAATTATTAGTTCACTTTACAACAGTTAAAGCCTAAATGTAGATGTTTACCTAATGTAGGGATTATTATGACCCTTTTTTCAATAATTACAACTTGTTCATGTACAAAACCCTTTAAAAGCATATTTGGATTATTTGCAAGACTATTTTCTGGTAGTACCATTACACTAGTAATACTAGAGTGAAGGAATTCAACTCGTGTTATTTCTCAATTGACCTGGTTTTCTTTGTTATTCATAATGCGAGATCAATAAATAGTTAGTTATTAACCCGGTTAATAACTATATATAGACTTTGCATTTATAATGAGCAACATTTGATAGAAAACCTTCTCRATTGATAAATAAAATACTTTATTACCTCAAACGTCAGCAATAAGACTATACATTTACATCCCTCAAGCCTACAGCCCTCTGGATGTATATGGCTTATTGCCTCCGTTCTCGGTAATTAACTCTTAAAAATAAAAAATACTAGTCAACGTGTAATAGTCAAATAGATACAAATGGAAATAATGGAATTAGTGTCTACTAATGTGTATTAAGTCTAATATCTATTGCACGGGTTAAATGACTTCACTCTATGAATGATCAATATTATAAATTATTTTTAGCATTGGTAAATTGACACATCCTTTGCTTGATTCATATAAACAATGTATCAAGTGCTAAACAATAGAAAACTGACTTAAAAGATGCCAGCTATGACATAATTATATTGTATGACTGGGTTTATAAGATTCTGTAGAAAGTCTCACATATACTACTAGTTATGACCACCATAAGAAAATGAAGACAACCATAATGTAACAGAGTCAGATAATCCTTATTAATCAATGTAAAAGTCTGTCTATCAGTGTAAAAATCTGTCTTCTAGTCTTAAGGTCTGTCTACTARTCTAAAGGTCTGTCTACTAGTCTAAAGGTGTCTGTCAGTCTAAAGGTCTGTCTACTAGTCTAAAGGTCTGTCTACTAGTCTAAAGGTGTCTGTCAGTCTTAAGGTCTGTCTACTAGTCTAAAGGTCYGTCTATCAGTGTAAAGGTCTGTCTGTTAGTCCAAAGGTCTGTCTATCAGTCCAATGGTCTGTCAAACAATATAAAGGTCTGTCAAGCAATCTAAGGGTTCGGTTTAACAGTCTGAAGGTCTGTTATCAGTCCATTTGTCTGTCTATCAGTCTGAAGTTTTGTCTCAGTCTGAAGGTTTGTCTCAGTCTGAAGGTTTGTCTCAGTCTGAAGGTTTGTCTCAGTCTGAAGGTTTGTCTATCAGTGCAAAGTCTTGTCTATCAGTCCAAGGGGTTTTCTGTCTATTAGTCTAAAGGTCTGTGAGTTCAAGGGGTTTGTCTTACAGGCTGAGGGACTGTCCATCAGTCTGAGGGTTTGACTATCAGTGTAGGTTCAGATTAAGTTCAAGGGGTCTTACTGTCAGCGTAAGGGTCTGTTGATTGGGGACTTTTTCTCACATGACTAAAATTAATGATCCATATTCAAGTTTGTCAGTTTAACGGTTTGGAACTTAAACATATTCTGTCACACAAGTAAACAAAACCATCTTAGAAGCAAATGCTGTCTTGATTTGAATAAAGTGTAATAGTCCTACAAACTTAAGCTTTCTCTGCTTCAGTAGAGGCAGCACCTGCTGATTGACGCAAACGAACATGTCCCTTATCACCATTATCATCTGTTGAACTGTAGCTAAAGTCAACACGGTCATCCACTCTAAAAGTAACAAAAAGATAGATTAAATATCAAGTGATTGGGTTAAAATTGCTGGCTGATCAATTAGTGAAAACCTTCTCACTTACTTGGCTGCTAATGTGAGTCCAGAATTAACCACCAAGGAAAACAAAATAAAAATAATAAATAAATGAATAAATTGTAAAAGAATATTCCAAAAAATAATCTAGCAATATTGTACACCTTTTGCTGTTCATTAAGAGAAAATGTACATTCATTTGTGCCAATAGTTGTATCAATAA